TTGACAAATGAAAAGTTTATAAAGGCACCGTGTAGAATGAATTGCCTTCATTAACTGAATAAAGTAGATGATGTTCTGAAATGAACAGCTGACCATATGCGGTTTTCTCTCTGATACAGAAAGCGCGAGTCGGACGCATCATGGAAAGTTTTGCTCTTCACATTTTGAGAGAGATTTAGTCCTTGTACATATATAAAATTATTCAATCAATCAATAATCCAATAATGGTATGCAAAATTATGCTGTTAATGTTTTGGGCAAATTTACTGAACTACATATATATGTTTATGTATATATATATATATATATATATATATATATATATATATATATGTACATATATATATTTTGAAATATGTGAGTTTGGTGTTGATATATATTTTGGTGAGTTATTTAAAATCGGGCAGTAACACCAAGTAAAAAAAAATTAAGTAGTTTTTGAAATACTTTATATATATATATATATATATATATATATATATATAAATTATAAAATGTTTGTTTCTTCTAATGTAATGAATCTGTATATATTTCTTGTATGTTACAACCAGCCCCAAGGTTTTGTTCACCCCGGGTGTGACTTTTTACATTAATCAAGATTCAAATAATTTAGAAATCACAGAAATTGTTACACCTTATCAAAGATTGGTAATTTTAAAGCAAAACTAGTGGGGTGTATGGCATCGTGCCTTAAGGCAAATTGCTGGAACTTTTCGTACCGAACGTTTGTAACGAAATGTTCAAGGAATACTGAATGTTTTCAAATAGATTATTATAAACATTTTAACATTGTCCAATATTTATAAGAATTATATAAACTGAATTGCAAAGTTTAAATTGTTTGTTTAAAGTATATTAGAACTTTAGTCAGAATTAAAAATAAAATCTGAAAAAAATGATACAATTTTTTTTTTCCAAAATCAATTATTTTGTTAAAACAAGCTGGAGGTCCTTTGAATCATTTGAATTGGACGCTTAGTTCTCTCAAAAACTGCCATTTTTTGCACATTTAGCTCTGTATCTTTGAAATGGCTGGGCCTGCCATCACTAATAATCACTGCTCCCAATCATTACTAATTGAATGTTTTTTAGATCATTCAAATCGGATGCTCCGTTCTCTCAAAAACTCGATTTCTATTTTTTGCACTCTTTGCTCTTTATCTCCGTAACTGCTGGTCCTGCCTTTGCCAAAAACTAATCAGCACATCTCCCTATCAATAGGAATCGAATGTTTTTTGAACGATTCAAATCGGTTGATCCGTGCGCCCAAAAACGTGGACGAAAAATTGTATCCATACATACATACATACACACACACACACACACACACACACACATCCATTTTTTATGAGGTATGCCAAAATGTTCAGAAACCTTCAAAACGTCGAGAAATATAAAAATTTTCAATTTCGATTTTCGGCCCATTAAAATAACTTACCCTACGGGAAGTTACAAATTTAAAAAATATAGAAAATAAACAATAATAATGTGTTTTTTTTATTTAAACTAAAGATTTATGTAGCGTTCGTTGCAAGCAAAGAACCGAGCGCGCCCGATGAAAAAACGGAGGATTCACGAAGATGTTGTAAAAGAGGGTTTCAAGGATTGTTAAACAATGTGGGTATGGGCAACGTCGAACAAAAAATCTAAATATATATATATATATATATATATATATATATTTGAGTAGTATTTAAATAGATTAAGTTCTATTGTAAAAAGGTTCACTACTGATCTTACCCTTACTGATTAATAGATTTGTCGTTAAGTATCAATAAAATTTTATACAGAATACATGAACTACTAAAAGTAAGTTCCGTAGTACTAACGGAAAACAATAATACTTTGACACCTGGTAAAAATAAGAATACTCTTAATATGCCATGTGAATTCATATTCGCCGCTTGGTTTTCAAAAAGTTTCGATATCAACCGCCGATATGAAATTAGTGCTTATTTTAGCTTTCAGTCGTTGGCATAAAAGCAAGTGAAATAATTCGCGTCTTAAAAGTGTATATAATTTTTTTATGATATTAGCAATAAAATCGATTTCGGCGATTTCAAGAACGTCACCGGAGCGACGGGCGATCGTGCGCGCAGCATCACCGGAAGCCCTCGGGTTCCGTTATAATCGAATAACGCGAGCGAACGAACGAGTTTCGAGAGAAAAAAACATAACAAAGCAAAACTGGAGTAGCGATCACAAAACTGTGGCAGAACCACTACGTTCGATATATGTATAATAAATATGTATATATACACACACACATATTATATATATATATATATATATATATATATATATATATATATATACTGTCTGTCTGTAATTATACTGTGAACTACGTCACAAAATATGTATATATGTATATTAGCAGTGCTGGAATTACAATAGGGGCAGTCGGAACTAGTGCAAATTTTCTGGGGCGGTAAAATTTGGAAATTAAAAAAACAAAATATCTATACATAGAACAAGTATGTGATGCGTGATTTTTCTGCGATCAAATAGTTATTTTAAATTTAGTAAAAATGTGACATAACAAATGGGCGGCATTTTTATGAATGCCCCAAAGCGCCAAATTTCGAAAACCGGCTCTGCATATTAGGGTGATCCTTTATGGATGTTTTCGAATTTCCTTGCTCCCAAATGCTTCCAAATTGATAAAAAAATGCTCTGAAAGTTTTAGCTCTTAATGTTAAGGTGAAGTCCCCGAGTGGCGGACACCTAAGGTTATTTATAAATAAATCAAAAAATATTTTACGAAATGTTTATTAAATTTTGACTTACGATAGATAACAAAGTTAGAAATCAAACTAAATTAACAAAAATACAACCTTTGCTAAAAATAATTAATACTATCAATCAAACTTTGGTAACAAACAATATGATTTTAAAAAGTGGCACCTAGTACCGGACATTTCAAAATAACCAGCATTGTACACATATGTAGCCATCTCCACACTCCGGAATGTCTGCACATTTGTGTTTGACAAATATTCTTAGATATTGCAAAAAAAAGTCACTATTCATCCACCCTTTTGGCTGGGCCACACCAATGCTCTCGTTGATTTGGTAATTGAAATAGCAACATTTATTGCTGTTTGCATATTCAATGAACGTTTCTTTCCTATTTTAAAAATGATGACCCTTATGGTAATGCAAATTGGGCCAGAAACTCTGGGCCATTTGCTGTAAGCCGAGACAACGCCCGAATTGAACGATCTAAAATACGTACATCCAACGCTTTAAAAGATGCTAGAACTGCTCCATTGAAAGAGATAAATGCAAAAAATAGTTCTTTTAAAGTAGAAGAAGATCCGATGCATAAAGCAGCAATGTCTGATTAAATAAAAAAAAGTATAACATATCATCTTCTGACTTTAACAGCAAAAAACTTCACGCAAATCTTAAATGCATTTTTCTCAGAACAGACTTTTTCAGTACTGTTGTCACGATTTCTCCAGTCCTACTCGACCGATTCACTTGAAATGTTCAGAGAGTCTCGTTTACCTATCTGCAGCCCGAACTAGCATCATCCCCAAATTCCAATCTTACTATTTTTTAAAATTTCGAGAAACTCAAAAAAAAACGTAAAAAAGACTTTTTTCAAACAGTCGCCAATTTGTAAACAAAATTTTTTTACACATTGCTAGTTCGGACGATTGCGACATCATTGTAGATTCATAATCTTTTTATTTCGGATGGCTTGGAGGGCTGAAATCATGGCAAGACTGAGGTGCCAATTTTTTGAGACCCCCCACTTTATCAGCTGCCAGTTTTTTCAATTATCAACTTTTTTTTTCAATTTTTGTTTTGTATTGTAATTATAATAATAAGCGAGTGGTAAAAAATGGATAGTAAAAACATTTATTGCTTTCTTTTACGACATTTTAAAAATGACTTAAATTTATTGCTCTACACTAGAATACCCCCTTAAACCTAAGGACTCATTTAGCAAACTATTCGACATAGTATATTTGAGGCTTGCGTTACTCCAATAAAAATTTCATCAAGTATGGACTGTTATATATTAAGTATATTATACAAAGTTAATTTCAAGATTATATATATATATATATATATATATATATATCTGTGTGTATAATATGTATATGAATAATATGAGTGTAGTTTCATTTGCTCAACCATACACCGGCCACGCCTATGCGTTATTGACATGAATGTTCTTAATTCTGCGCATCAAATATTACATTTAATTGACCTTGTTCCCAATCACTCAAATCTATGTAAATGTTATTGGAAATTACACATGAATCCTTTCATTTTTAGTTCAGTTAACAAATTAGTGCAGCAATTTATAAATATAATTAAATATATCTCGATTTAAGACTTACTTCAAAATTGATTTTTGAACTTCCTTATCTTTACTTTATATGGTGAAAATAATCATATGCATAAACACAAGGAAAAAATAATTCAGTAAAGTTTAAAAATTTTATATGAATAAATTAACGCACAAAATATATTTGATTTAATTGATTTCAATGTTTTATTTTAAAGGAGGTACTGTTCATAAATACTTCATAGAAATTAATATTTAAAAGCTATGTTGGAAACGCTTACATTACTTTGATCTCAAACTAGGAATACTCCTAAAGTTACTCTAATTATAAGTACTCCTAAAGTATTTTTAAGAAGTTTCAAGATCCTTGTTTAATGCCTCTCTAATTCATTTTTTTGACAGCAGATATTAAAACGAACACGCAATACTTAAAATATTTCAATTTGTGACCTACGTCTCTAATTTACACAATTCATTATACTTTGAATCCATTGAGAGTTTTATTGAATTTATGCACTTACTTTAAACTACAAGTTTGCGACTTTGATGCTACGGAAGTTTGTTGAAATATAATTTTAATGCAACTTATCTATGATAGCAAATCTTTTGTGTCCATATCATCATGTTATAAGAGCATTATATATCATTGTGGTTTATTATCAATTTATTTTTTATAATTGTTTCTATTTTAATTTAGGTTAGCCGCAAGGGTTCAAATGAGCGATATTCTATCGACGTACTGCTGGACCCAAAACACCGGCCCAGGCATGCGCGAGAAATCTCACAGTCCACGCAAAGTGCACCCGCACTCGGCTCCTGAGCTGCAGAGCTCGCCCCTAGCAGGCTTAACCAGTCCGAGGCAGGCCGCCATCTACCCGCTGACAGTGCGGGTGCCTGAAGCCATCAACAACGAACCATTCGATTTATCGCTTTCAGTGAACATGGATCCTCACATGTCTCCTGCCTCGGCCGATGTCCAACAGCTCAAATCTAATAATTTAGATCAACCTCTAGATCTGCGAGTGGATAGAAAGAAGGATGGAAACCAAAATCGTACTAGATTAAAAGACGAAAATTGTAACTTAATACTTCGCACACCATCACCATATCCTCAAAGTGTGCACCCTTTTGTATTAGAAACGATGGCTAAAGTTGCCAGTTTGCCATTTACAGCTGGATATCCATTGAACATCCAATTGCAACGATACCCTCAACAAAATGTTCCCGCTCAGCATATTCCGAACAGTAGAGTGGATCTTCAGCAGACGCAGCTGGTGACGGCGCAACAGAATCTAACCAAAGCCAAAGACCGATATGCCTGCAAATTCTGTGGCAAAGTATTTCCGCGAAGCGCTAATCTAACGCGGCATCTGCGGACACATACAGGCGAACAGCCCTACAAGTGTAAATATTGCGAAAGGTCGTTTAGCATTAGCAGCAATCTTCAGCGACACGTTAGAAATATACATAATAAAGAGAAACCTTTCAAATGTCCGTTATGTGAACGTTGCTTTGGTCAACAAACTAATTTAGATAGACACCTCAAAAAGCACGAAGCTGACGGTACCAGCGCTGTTTTGAGAAGACTGTCGGACGATTGTTACTTTGAAGAAATTCGAACATTCATGGGTAAAGTGACAGACTCTACCAGTAGAGCTAAATCTTCATTTTTAGGCAAGTCATTTTTATTCCTTGCAGTATGCACATAATATATGTGTGTATATGCTCCTTACTGATTGAATACAAAAAAAAACTGAAGAAAAAATACATGTTCAAAAGTTTTCATACACCATGATACTTGTAATTAAATTGTAGTAAGAACTCACAGTGAGTGAGTACAGTAAATTATATTTGTAAAAAATTTCCTAGATTGATCTTAAACATTCAAAATAATTTATATATGTATATTTATTTAGGCCATCAAGCGTGGTTGGAAAGGCATCAAAATCTCGACCGAAGTGCATCCCATGATCTAGCAGGTCGAAATCTTCACTCAAGATCAAGAGCCGAAGAAAATTTTATATCCGATATTGGAAGTCGAAACGAAAACTCTCAACACAGCGATGTTATTTTAGACGAAAGATCTTCTGAAAAATCAAGTGCAAGCTTAGTACCAGATGCTCGTGATTTAAAAACGATATCACGAAGATCGCGGTCCACAATTCAGAACAAATGCACGGTGGTCGAAGACGATTCAAGCAACATCATCGACACTGATAGCGAAATGGTCCAGGAAGAATACAACGATAATGCGGATAAACAAAATATGAAAGACAAAAATCAAGACGAGGATAAATGTGGAACGTAGTAACATTATTTCGGTGAGCTTTATTAAAAATTCTAAATTAGTCATTGGCTAAGCAATCTAAAAGATCCTAAACAATCCTATTGTGGATCAAATGAAGGTAAACATGATCAAAAAATGCAAGATCGACTTTATTTCAGAAGACATATGTCATGAGACTTCTGATATTTGTAATATATAGTTCGTAATATGTATTTCTATTACATTTTTCAAATCATTTCATATTCAATGATGGTATGATTAACTGCAACTCATTTAATCTAATTATAATCAATTTTTGATTGACCTGCGCAGAAATAACTTATTAATGAAATAGCCAAATAAATTGGATGATTTGAGATTAAAAATAGTTTTACGAAATAAAAAAAGTGGTTGTGCGGTAAAGTTCATTCCTCGTAACGCTCATGGTATAAATAAAGCTTAAGGAACTTTTGCAAAAATATTAAAATTTTATTAACTCAGTACAAAACTGTACATCCATTTTTCTCAATATTGCTTGTTAAATTATATCAAATAATATTTATGATATTTATTTAGTTTATAATTTTTTTATTTTAAATTATTGACTTTTAGGCAAATTTGACATATAATATCTAATGCGGTCCTGTCTTAGAGTCAGAAAGGGACTTAAGAGAAGTAAAGCAGTTAATAATGTGAAAAATCAATCATGTTTATGTCGTTTTTATATTTACTAATTAAATTAATACTCGCAATATTTAGTTGGGCTAGTCCATCACAGTGAAAATGTATTACATGTGCGTGATTCCACCGGACAAACTCGAAATATACTTTCAACAGAAATTTTTATTTTCTATTCATTTAGTAATCAGAAATACCAAAAAAGTTGTAAGCTAAATTGAACGTTTACAATAAATGTATATCTTAAAAAATTCATTTATTTTTCATAAGATTTTCGTAAAAAAGAAAATATTTGATATTTTGTTAAATAAATTAAAAACCATATTCGAAGAGAAAAATAAATAAAGACTCTTGAATATTTGGTTTTTATTATTGCAATAAAGTAGATAATGAATTACATATATATTTCAATCCATTAAATAGTTGTTATAAGTTAGTATGTTCACAGATATTTATATTAACCGGTGATCATACCATGTATACTACAATAATGAGATAAGTTACATAGCATAAAATCAATATGTAGGAATGTAAAAATATATGAATCCGGAGAATCCTTAGTCCTTACAAAAACTTTTTTGACTCGCAAATATATTTAGTGCATTCTGTTGTTTTTTTATTTTGAAAAAGTAATCAATTTAGATTATTCAACGTTTATAATTCTTTTGTATTCCTTATTGTTTTAAATTATTGTCAGCAATAAATAACATAGGATTAAATTATATTTTCATTACATCTACTGAAATTTTTCTTTCAATCTAACACCATTCATTTTTATTAACTTCTCATGAGGTAAGTTTTAGTAATCGCAAAAAAATAAATTAAAATTTCAAATTTCAAATAAAAATTTTTATATATCATTACGTTTGACAGGTTTCTGAATATGCCCTAGAAAAAAATTATGTATGTGTGTGTGTTGTTCGGATACAAATTTTCGTCGACGAATTTGGGAACACGGTTCAACCGATTCTAATAATTCAAACACATTCGATTCCTACTGAGAAGAAAACGTGCTGATTACTTTTTAGCAAAGGCAGGTCTAGCCGTTTCAAAGATACGGGGCAAAAAGTGCCAAAAACGGTAACTCAGTTTTTAAGAGAACGGAGGGTCCGATTCTATTAAATCAAAAAACGTTTTATTTATATTGACATGATAAAGAACTGAACGTTTGTGAAGGCAAGTCTTGGGGTTTCGGAGATTCAGTAATAAAAGTAAAAAAATTATATTTGGCAGTCAAAAATAATCATTAGACATAAGCACGTATTAGACATAATACGTATAAATTTTGTTTACATTTCTATGGGTTCCGTAATATCGTTTATTCGTAACACTGCGACGCAGCGCTTACGCTCTTCTATATTTCCTCTCTATTCAGCTGAAGAAGCGCGCTTTGAAAAAAAGTTCAAAATATCCGAAATATATAAAAAAATATTTTGTTTCAAAAAGTCTTTCTATTCCAAATTCCAATCTTTTTTTTTAAATAAAATTAAATTTTTCAATTATGAGTTTTTCAAAGTTTAAAAAAAATTTAATCTTTTTTAAAAAATCAGTATTTGGTACGGGAAGTTTCAGCAATTTGCCTTAACTCCTTAACATACAATTTAGATTCGAAAATGTCGGGCCAAAGTTGTTCAAGCTGGCGCGTCGTTGTGACTATTTTCCCTCACGGTTTATCACAAAAATAAAAATAATTTTGTATGAATAAATATTTTATAATACTTGCGTTCACCATACCGGGCCACGCCCGAAATGCGTAATATTTGCTTCTTTCCCGAATATCGTACGCGGGCTATGCCCGTAATATTCACTTTTGGCCTAGCAATCGCACGCGGGCTCTGCTCGCCATTTTAAGTTAAGGGGTTAACGCGCAAAAGCACCACTAGTTTTATTCAAAATTATAACTAAAAATTAGCAACTTGCTAACAAATTTCATTAACCAGTTAACCCGGCACGCTCATTAAACTATGCGTACAGTTTTGTGTCGTCAAAATCGAGGTAAAATTTTATTTTAAAGTAAAATACTACTACAACTACTTACCTTTAAAATAGTTTAAACATAATGAATTCTTAAAACTTTACTATTATTTATACGCTTGACTATATATACGACTATATATATACGATTATAATTATACGCTTGACTATTATACTCGTCAATACACAAATTTCAATTTTTTTTTTTTTTTTTTTTTTTTTATTTATTTTTCATAGCAAGCTATACAAAGTACATTCAGCTACATATGTTTATATATTAATTGTTATATATTAATTGTCTGCGTGAGCAGGAAATTATCAAAATAATTTATTCATGCATTCACTTTATATAATTTCAGCTCAAACAATAATCGAATGTGCTAATGTAACAAGGTGCATTCATCTACTTCACCAACTAAAGGAAAATAATTCTAGGCTAGAGTGCCGGTTGTCTAATCATTTTATGGAGCTGTTTGGACAAATTTATTATTACATGTTCTACATTCTACAAAACTCATGTCTTATTTTCAATTGAATCTATTATTTTTATAATATTTTTGTTCACTCTTAGTATAATAACTGATTGCATTTATTTTTCATATCATTTTTACACCTTCAAGTCTGTGCGAAAATGATACGTACCATCAAGTTTTGGTTTGATTGCTATTATTTTTTGGAAAATAAATGTAAGTAGTCAACTCGATTTTATTGACTTGTTTTCACCTTTGTCACAGATAAATTTTTATGTCTCAATTTATTGACACCTTTTATAGTAAGTAAATTACAGTTTTACAAAACGTCTGGTATTACGAAGTGCTTATAGCAACCGGTGAAAATATTAAAGTCTGAAATGTCTTTAAAAAGTATTAATTATTCATAGTTTAATTTAAAACAAAAGTTTACGTGATTATAGTAAGCTAATTTTTTATTTTCATATATCATTCATCTGAATGAATTCGTTTGATCCAAATTGTATTCTAGCACTCTCAAACTATATTTTTTGCTCAAATTATAACTGGTTAGCAATCCAAAATTACTTGATAAATGTTATAAGTATTAATAAGTACTAAAAATAATCAATTTGAAAAATATTGCACTTTGAATCACGATTATCAATAATTTTATACTTGATAATAAATAAATATAAGATGAAGAAAATTTTATTTAGCTGCTATGCTTATAATAGTTTTGCATATTTTTGTTAAATTGTTTTTAAAAATATATTGATTATTTATTATGAATCTTGAAATTTTATCAATAAATGCAAGTTATATTTTTAAATTGATTTATATTGTAATAAATATATAAATATTAGATATAATTTATTTATATAGAAAAGTTTATATTTGAGAATACCCGTTTATCTAAACAACATGTTAAGAATTTGCCAATATTATATGATACTACTGCTGAACATATTCCTGTATTTGTTCTAGCTAAGATACAATATTTATTAACTTACTATATATAAGTATTTTTAACTATATGAAATAAATTGCTGCTGTATTTGCAAATACTTGCAATTAGAAGAATGCATGTTTTTGTTTGATAATCGTATAAATTTAGTTTATATGAATCAATATTACAAGAAATAAAATAATTTGTGATATGATGTTTTAAGATTACAAGATGTGCAAATATTTTATCGTTGTTTTATATAGTTTTATAAAAAATATTATAATTCGTACCATATTATTATATCACAAAAATTGAATTGAACAAATCTTAGTCAGTACTTAGTTACCAAACTACAATTTTATATATTGTATATATCAGCTTATATATTGATGTTTTTATAATATTGCTTAAAATAGTCAATGCCCATTAAAGGAGCCTAAGATATGTGAAAATATATGTACAAAAATGTTAAACATAGCATATGCTTATATCATCATTATCTCACAACCATATGGACACTACTCTTTCATAATTGAACATATTTCATCCATTCTTATGTTTCAGTAAAGTTGACATTTTCATAATCCTGATTAATATATCATGAAAATTCCTGTTTCATTACAATATAATTTTTTATATACTGAAACATATGTTTCATATGTATATTTTTAATCTTTTCAAATAATTGTGATGTTATTTTTGAGTAAAATAGTAGAATATAAAATAGTCGAGGTAAATTCCGTCAGTTTTCATTGTGCATAATATAATATAACCATTTTATGGTAAGCATCGTCAATTTGATCAATTTGGCTCATTAACATCTGACAATAAATAAGATTAGACAAGATACGGTATTTCGATTACATGATTCAATAAATTGAACGTCATCATATGTTTTTCGCAAGAAATATGAATAAAATAGTAACTGTGCTATACAAATGTAATGTAAAGATTTAGGTTATTAAAACATTCAGTAAATAAGTATAAACAACTTTATTTCTACCAGGACATTATTATGAATACCTTTTATTTACTTGAAACGCTTATATATTGGACGATAATATTGGGACTAAAATATAGTTTTATGTAAATGTAATATTTAAATTCCATTTTTTCTGTTGCAATATTTAAATCGGAAATACGTTCGTATTGCTTCATTATATTATTATTATTAGCACATCTAATCAGATCAGATGTATTAGCAATCTAAATAAAAGTAATCTGTTGTATTCCAGAAACAATAAATACAGAACCAACAACAGAATATGCATTTTAAACACATATACACACATGCATATTTTGAACCTATAGTGTACAAAAATAAGCTAAGCTACAGAAAATATTTATTAGTTATTTGTTAGTAGATATTTAGGATCAGATTTAGTCACTTACTAGTAATTAAAACAAAATTGTAGACTTGCTAAATTATAGAAAAATCAAATGACGCACTTCACAATCCAATATTATTTATACAAAATAATTGCAATAGTTATTATAATAAAATTTTTCCAGAAACTTATTATATTACACATTTATTTAGTAATTTTAATTTTATTTCGATAAGAAGTACTAAATCTAGACCGAATCTTCTAAGAATAAAAGCTCATAAATATTTATAAAATATCAATTCATTTATTTATTAAGTTTGAAACATACATTACATTTACATGTTTAATATTCAAATTACAATCTCTGATGACGTGCAAAAAATTTTCGATGACTGAGAAACGATATTTTTAATTATAGTTTGATATATATTATCTGTATTTTATTGTATACAAATTTATAAATGAAAATAAATAAATTGTATTTATAGTGAAAAACGTATCTTTTGAAAAATGTAATGAATTGTTGTTACTATGTCTGATCTGAACTTTATTATAAATTTAAAAATACAAAATAAATAAATCTTAAGCATTAAAATTTGAAACATTAAACATTAATGTTCATATTAACAATATATATATATATATATATATATATATATATATATATATATATATATATATATATGAGGAAAATAACTTACTTGAGTAGCAAATCATAAATATATCAACTTTTTGAGACTATTTTTTATTCTCATTGAAATAAAGATACTAAAATATATAACAAATTATTCTGATCTTTAACATACAGGCATCTATCTATGCGTTGTGGATATAGAATTGTTATTTTTAATAATAAACCATATTTTTGCAATACAAATCTTTATTACATATAAAAATACAAAATTTAAATAACATGCAAATAAAGAAAATTAAGCATTATAAATCAGACCTTCAGAATTATCCTATGATAGGTTTTATAACATATTTAATTCATAAATAATATACAAATATTTCACAATACTTCAGTTAACACACTGTTGAAATGTATAATATTGTATAAACTGTATATTTTTAATACTGAAATAAAAGATATATCTATGAATCTCAATACTTTGAAACGCAATGTTTTGTTGTATAATTTATTAGATTTGATTTTTGCAAATTTCAAATTACGGATGAAGAGGTAAACAATGATCGCAAGATAATTTATATCAATACAATTTGTCAAAATATAAGAATAGTAGCATCTGAGAAAATTAAAGGATTTATTAAACTTTTACCAAAAAGTGCGTATACCAATAAGATAAAAGGTTGGTTGTTGAAAGAATTGTCTACCAAAACAACTCCTCCGATTGATAGAATATGAAAACGCACCGAGCAGCGTATAGTTTTGAATTGTTGAGAAAGCTATTGCTCGTCTTCAAAAACAATAAAGCAATGCTCAAGAATTGTGAACAATATCAATATCGAAGAAAATCATTAACTTCATAAATGATATTAAACGAATTTACAGTTGAATAAATTATTTAAATATTTTGCCTAGGTCGGAATATTGTAAAATTTATACAAATGTACTTTATCCTTTATATTTTTGTTATATCTATATCGCACATCTTTTTTAAACTTTTTCGAAAAAAATAATCGATAAAACATTTTTTCAAAATTCTATCATTTTTAAGTAAGTTCTATTTCGACGGTTTATTTTTTAAAATTGATTTGAATTGAATAATTGAAAATTGATTTTTTTGTAAGCTTCTTGTCCACGGTTTTATCCTAAGTTTATTTTCCGAAATTATTTTGGAAAAAAATGTTAAAAAAATGTTTGTAGAGAAAATTTCAAAATTGGAAAAAAATTTGGCAGAAAAAATATTTTGAAAAAAAAAGTTAGGAAAAAAAAATTGTTCAAAAAAAATTTAGGAAAAAATTAAAAAAAAGATTTTTTTTCCACAATCAAAACATGCAACATTTCAATCTCGTTTAACAGTCAGTTCATCAGTCTATGGTTTTTCACTCAAATCAAACATTTGATTAAAAAAAATTAAATTTTTTAACAAAAACTTTTTTTGCCAAATTTTTTTCCCAATCTTTTTTCCAAAAAAATTTTCTCCGAAATGATTTCATCGAGAGCGAATGACGTACAGTTCAGGCGTAACGCATTTCCGTTGCATTTGTACGGATTTACACCTTAGTCGCGCCTAAAGAAGTTTTACTTCAAAAAATGAAATATAAAAACGAATCGCTTGCGGATTCGAACTCGAAACCTAACGCAACATCGAATGATGAGATCGCGGACTTTGGAAAACCGGATTTCAAAGTCTTTGTCGATCTCGGAGTGTATTGATCCTTTCCCTTCTTATCCCAAATTTTTTTCCCAATTTTTTTTTCACAAAAATTTTAACCAAAATATTTTTTTTGACCAAAAATTTTTTTCCCAAAATTTGTTGGATCAAAATTTTTTTGACCAATATTTTTTGACCATAAATTTTTTTGACCATAAATTTTTTTGACCAAAATTTTTTGACCAAAAATTTTTTTGACCAAAATTTTTTGACCAAAATTTTTTTAACCAAAATTTTTTGTTGACCAAAAATTTTTTGATCAAAATTTTTTTGACCAAAAATTTTTTTCCCAAAATTTTTTGGACTAACATTTTTTTAACCAAAATTTTTTGTTGACCAAAAATTTTTTTGAACAAAATGTTTTTGACCAAAAATTTTTTTCCCAAAATTTTTTTTTCCAAAATT